ATGAGGCACCATGCCCAGCCGTGTTCTCTGTTTTTAAGTCATAAGATTAAATATTAAGTCATTCTTATTAATTTATCCAGAGCCTGTATACTTTGTCCATTTTTATGTAAAGAGTCAAAAACCGGAGGTGAATTGTTTTTCAATGTCCGTAAAACATTTGTCTCATGACTTGTTTCTTGAATTTTGATTTGATGTTAAATGGGAACAGTCTTGCTTTTTGTTTTATTGACAATTGCATACCATAACTTGCTGATTTTCGATTTTGACATTTTTTGTGTCATTTTGTCCTAGTTGTGTCTTTAGTTGGATTCTCTTCGATTCCAGTCAACACTGATATCATCAATATTGATGATTCTTTTTCAATATTATTAATATTGCCTTTCAATATCATTTTTCCTTTACATTCTGTTTAAATAATTTTTCATACTTTTTCCATTTTATCTTTATTTCAATAGTTTTTGGGGAGAACAGGTGGTTTTGGTTACATGGATAAATTCATTACTGGTGATTTCTGAGATTTTGGTGCATCCATCACCCAAGCAGTGTACACTGAACTCAGTGTGTATTCTTTTATCTCTCACTCCCCTCCCACCGTTTCCTCTGAGTCCCCAAGGTCCATTATATCATTCTTATGCCTTTGCATTCTCATAGCTTAGCTCCCACTGATAAGTGAGAAGATAATGATTCTTGGTTCCATTCCTAAGTTACTTCACTTAGAATAATGGTCTCCAACTCCATCCAGGATGCTGAGAACGCCGTTATTGCATTCCTTTTTATGACTGAGGAGTACTCCATGGTATGTATGTATATATGTGATATATATATATATTTATATATAACATTTTCTTTATCCATTCATTGGTTGGTGGGCATTTAGACTTGTTCCACATTTTCTCAATTGCTAATTGTGCTGCTATAAACATGTGTGTATGAATGTCTTTTTCATATCATGACTTATTTTCCTCTAGGTAGAGACCCAGTAGTGGGATTGCTGGATCAAATGATAGTTCTTTAAGGAATCTTCATACTGTTTTCCACAGCAGTTGCAATAGTTTACATTCCCACCTGCAGTGTAAAGTGTTCCCTTTTCGCCACATCCACACCAACATCCATCATGTTTTTATTTTTTAATTATGTTTTTTCTTGCAGGAGTAAGGTGGTATCGCATTGTGGTTTTGACTTGCATTTCCCTGATAATTAGTGATGCTGAGAATTTTTTCATGTATTTCTTGGTCATTTGCATATCTTCTTTTGAGAATTGTCTATTCATATCCTTTGCCCACTTTTTGATAAGATTATCTGAATTTTTTTCTTGCTGATTTGTTTAAGTTATTTATAGATTCTGGAATTTTTGCTTAGTCTTACTTTGGCAATGTGGGCCCTTTTTTGATTCTATATGAATTTTAGGGTTCTTTTTCTAGTTCTGAGAATAATGATGGTGATATTTTGATGGGAATTCCATTGAATCTGTAGATTGCTTTTGGGCAGTATGATCATTTTCACAATATTGATTCTACCCATCCATGAGCATGGAATGTGTTTCCATTTGTTTGTGTCATCTGTGATTTCTTTCAGCAGTGTTTTGTAGTTCTCCTCACAGAGATCTTTCACCTCCTTGGTTAGGTATATTCTAAGGTGTTTTGTTTTTTTGTCGTTGTTGTTGTTGTTGTTTTGCTTTTTTTTTTTTTTTTTTGGCAGCTGTTTTAAAAGGGATTTGATTTTATTTTCAGCTTGATCATTGTTGGTGTATAGCAGTGCTACTGGTGATTTTGTATCCTGAAACTTTACTAAATTCATTTATCAGTTCTATATCCTAGGATACAATCATATCATTGGTGAACAGTGACAGTTTGACTTCCTTTTTACCGATTAGGATGCCCTTTATTTCTTTCTTTTGTCTGACTGCTTGGGCTAGGACTTCCTGTTTTATCTTTTACAACTCATTGTTTTCCTTGTTTTATCTCTCTAAAAATGCAAACTATGTCTGCTTTTTATTTTTATTTTCAGTGTTACATAAAGTTTTATAAGGTCTGATTTCACTCAATCAGTAGTTATTTTCAAATCTTTTAGAAAGGAAAGAAGGAAGGAAGGAAAGAAGGAAGCAGGAATATGTATAAAGGTATAGCAAACATCATACTTAATGGTGCTGCTAAGTGCTTCGTCCCTGAAATTGGAAATAAGGCAAGGAAGTCCACTCTCACCACTTCTCTTCAACATTGTATTCAAACTCCTAACCAGTGAAATAAGACCAAAAAAAGAAAATAATTGTTTAGAAAGAAACAGTAAATCAGTCTATTTGTTGATGATATAGATATTTTATTTAAAATACAAAGGAAATCTATAAATAATTTACTAGAAATAATACATGAATTTAGTAATGCCATAAATTCATGGTTAATACATTTCAAACCAATTATATTTTCATATAACAGTAAAAGAGGAATTTGAAAAGCATTATCATTTAAAGTGACACCAAAACAATAAAATAACTAGGAATAAATTTATTATTTTTTAAATTTAATTAAATTTAATTTTTTATTTCAATAGATTTTTGGAGAAGAATAAATTTAATGAAAGATGTACATGACTTCTAAAAACTATAAGCACTGCTGGGTAAAATTAAAGACATCTAAGTAAATGGAGAGATATACAATGTTAACAGATTGGAAGCTCAATATTGTTGTCAGCATCCCCAAATTTATCTGTAGCTTCAATTCAAATCCAAAAAAAAATCCTAAAGTCTTTTCTTGTAGAAATTGACAAATTGATTTGAAAAGATATGTATAAAAGCAAAGAATCTGGAAAATCCAAGACAATCTTTTCTAATTGACTTCAAGACTTTTGTTAAGACATGATATTTAAGGCAAATTCTTATCAGCATAAGGGTAGACAAATAGATCAATGGTATAGCATAGAAAGTACATATATAAACCCATGCTTATATTGTAAATTGTTTTTTGAATATTTTCATGGCCTTTTAGTAGGTAAATATTTCTTAGATAGTACACTAAAGTCATTAATCATAAAAGAAAAAATAATAAATTGGACTTCATCAAAATTACAGATTTCTTCCCATCAAAAGACATGATTAAGAAAATGAAAGAGAAGCTACAGACTGGGTGAAAATATTCACAATACATACATCAGACAAAACACTTCTATCTGTAATATATTTTTAAAACTCCTACCCATCAATAAGTAAAGCTGAATAATACAAATGAGCCAAAGACTTGAACAGACACTTTACAAAATAAAAAAAATTGCCAATTAGCACATGAAAATGTACTTGACATCATTTTATCATTAAATAAATACAAATTGAAACTAAAATGAGATGTCACATCACACACACTGGAATGGCTAAAACTAGAAAGGCTCTCTCTGATAGTCTTTGAAAAACAGTTTGGCAGGTTCTAAAATGATTAACAGTACTCTTACACAATGACCCAGCAGTTCCACTCCTACATATTTACCCAAGAGAAGTGAAAACATCTTGCCACGAAAAGACTTGTACAAGAGCAGCAATTTTATTTCTAGTAGTCTCAAAATGGAATGAACTGAAATGAATAAGCAGATTGTGATAGATTCACACAATAGAATACCACTCAACAACAAAAATGAACAAACTACTGTTCAACACATCAACACGAATGATAAGCAAAAGAAGGCAGACACAAAAGCATATATATCTTTTATTCCATTTGTACGAAATCCAGTAGCAGGCAGTATCAACATATGATGGAAAAAATGACAGCAATGGTTGCCCCTGAGAGGCTGCCTGGCTGCATGTGGTCAGCATGTGGGTTGACGGGCAGGGCATACACTGTTCTGTTCATTTCTCAAATAGCACATCAGTTTTTGGCTCTGTGTCTCCCTTCAAATCTCCATTGTTTCTTACAAATTCTGTAGGGCACCATGATTCCTAACCTCTGAAATCATCCCCTACCTACTATTGCAACTAGCACTTTTCTGACCACTTTTCACCTTCAAGATTTTATTTGAAATCTCTTATCTTATGCTTATTGTCCTCTGCCATTCTTTTTGTCATTGTGAATCTAATTCCTTTGTTATTATTTTAGTGATCTTTAACCAGAAATTTTTTTACAGAAATTCAAAACAAAAATGTAACATTATTGTTTCCTGCCTCATGTTAGATACTGGAAAGTGTCAATAATTCTCTTCTGGTTGGGAAGGAAGGGCTCATAAGTTTTCATAATATTAAGGAATATTGAGATGTTGACTAAAACATTATCAGAGCAATAAAGTAATCAACTAAGAACTAGAATTAGAGATTCAACTTTAAAATTACTTTCACAGGAAACAACAGCAATTTCTGAAATTCAGATGCCTAAAATGGTTCACCATATATAACAATAATACAGAGATATTTATATTAACAGAAAGTAGAATCAGACATTCTAGGAGATATCATTGATATTCTCATGAAATTCTCAATAATGTGGTATCATTATTATTATTAAACTGCATTGTATTATTTATGAATTAATGATATGATGTAGGATTATATTTCTTTCTTAATAGCTACAGATTAGACAGGGACATCTTATTTTTATCTTTCTCAGATTTGTTTTCTCTCAGCTGTTAATTAAGATGCATATTCAAGGTTAGATTTTGTTTTTATTCCATTGTTTTTCATTTCTCTGTGGATGACCTGCTTCTTCCATCTAGATTCTGTAGGAATTTAATTTTTATTTCAAAAAATATTCCATATATGGTTAGGTGAAGGTATCTTTACAATGGCTTTGTTCAGTTTAGGCAGAACTTTTTCAGTCCTCTATATTAGTTTTTCGCAACCTCCATTTCTTCTATTACATCTTTGTTTGTTGCTTAAATTCCATTTATTCTGGCCTCTACTGAGTATCACCTATTTTATATGTGTTCGTTCTTTGTAGCTTGTCCTTTATATGTAAAGACTTACAGTCTCCACAAACATCTCAGAATCTTGACGACCATTTTCACGTGGTGTCCTTTTTCCCTAGGATGTTCACAGAAGAGCAGGATGTAGATGAGGGACTTCTCTGTGACGCTGTATTCAAGCACTTCAAAAGACATAAGGTGGAGATTTCAAATGCAATAAAAAAGACATTTCCATTCCTTGAGGGCCTCCGTGACCGTGAACTCATCACAAATAAAATGTTTGAAGTGAGTAAAGTTTATTATGTCACAATCTGGTTAGCCAGCCCCAAAGTAAGTTATGCTTTGATATCCTAGACCAAAACTTCAGGGTACAACTTGCTAACTGACAGGTTTCCTATGAGTGGGGAACTTTTTCAAGTATTTCTGTAAGTGTTCCTGTAAAGTAGAAAAGGAGGGGAGAAGCAGAGGTCACCAGAGATGGTCCTGCTTCCAGCTGAGGGAATGGTGTTCCATGGTGCCCTCTAAAGTTGGAGTGAATGGTACTGGAGAAACTGGAATAGAAACAGGTGTTCTCCATAAATGTACAGTGTTTTGTAGAATTCATACACTATAACATAAACTAAAACTTAAAAATAATTTTAATGAACTGATTTACTTGAAATAGCAATTGACACCGCATTTTCTTCTAGTTAACATCAATTTAAAATACCTAGATCTGAGAACATTAAAACCCACAGGGAATTGGTGTCTAGAGAGGACAAATTTGGAGGTAAATGCTTGTTATTCTTTCTCCAACACATGTGTTTTCTTTTTCTTTCCTTTTTTTTTTTGTGCATTTCTGGAGTCTTGGACTATGGGTAAATTCCACCCATAGGCCCTGTTGGAGATACAGAGCAGCAAGTCATCTCCGGCTATGAATGTGCTTCCTCTGTGGCCAAGTTCACAGCAAGGGGAGAATGGTCGCCTGGTTTCCTTGAGCCCTTCAGGCCAAATCAGTCTTGGGGGAAGAGCAGGGGTTGTCCAGCCAACAAAACAGCCATTCATCAATTGCCTGCTACGTCTATCCCAAAAACATATGGATCAGGCTGTTAAAGGACTTTGAGCCCACTTTTATCCTTCCAAGTTGCCCCTTTTTGCATCTAATGTAAATGAGGGTGAGGCAATCAGGCTCATCAGTGGGTATTTTTAAGGAGGAGGGATTTACTTCTTTCATTACTGGCTATACCAATAAGTAAAAATTATAGAACTTCACATGAAAATACTTATGTAGAGAAATTAGAATACAGTAACCATAGAATTCCTTTCTAGAGCTCTTCTGTAACTTGGAAGTCTGTATTTATATTTTCTCCATTCAATATTTTTTAAGGATTCTCAAGATTCTTGTAGAAACCTGGTCCCTGTACAGAGAGTAGTGTACAATGTTCTCAGTGAACTGGAGAAGATGTTTAGCCTGCCAGTTCTGGAAGCACTGTTCAGCGAGGTCAACCTGCAGGAATACCCCGATTTAATTCACATTTATGAAAGCTTCAAAAATGGTAATTAGATTTATTATCTACCTTTTGATTTCCAGGGTCGATTTTTTTCAATAAGTGTATACTGAGCTCCTACCATGTGTGACACATTTTGTTGGGCAGTGGGGATAGAGTAGTTAACAAAATAGACATGTCATGAGTCTTCTCAAAGCTCATGGCTTATGGTCATGGTAAAACAAGCACCTGGATGTCGGCTTCACTGGCAACTTGGACTCACAGGACAACCAGAGCAACACTGGCATCAGATTTACTTAGAAGAGCATAGAGTAAGAAACAGAATCCCAACAGGGAAGCTTCTTCTCTTCAGTGGGAGCCCTTGCAGTGGTCTACATAGCAGTCCACCAAATTGACTACTACCTGCCCTGAGTGACAACTTAGCTGTGGGTGCAGGATCCACCTTGGCTCAGCACCACATGCCTATGGGAGTGTATGTCTCTTGTAACAACTCCATAGTAACAGCTTTCAGGACCCCATATGGGCAAGCTGAGTTACAGGAGCAAACTGAGTTACAAGAGTTATCAATTGAAGGAAGACCACAACTATGACTTCCCCACAGGTATTTGTTGTCCATACATAGTCCCAGTCAACCAGTCATGGGTCATTTCTAACCTCTGTTTGCCTAGTAACACTGTAAAAAAAGGCTATCTTTATTAGGTTTTCAGAATATGAGCAAGAAAGTTAACCCTGGGTCAAGTTTGCCTTCAGTGAAGTAGAAGTGGTTTTGCTAACCCTTTATCCACAAGGGATGAAACAAAGATTAATTAAGCAATGACAAAACCAATTACTCTGCCAGGGACTATTTTTGGTGCTATACCAAACTAAAGGTTTCATTCTTGATCTTTTTCCTGAGAATGCGTAATTTATACTGTTAAAATGGTACACATTAAAGACGTCCTACAATTTTTTTACTTGCCTGGAAAACTTTTTATTCCCACACAGTTTGATCTCAATCCAGTTCTCCAAATAAGAGATAGAGACATCACAAGAGAAACTGGCACATGCCCTGAAGAGGGTGGATGCTATGGGAACTGTAATAAAAGTTTGAAAGCATGTCTGCAAAACAGGACAAATTAGATGTGGCTAAATCTGAGAGTGAGAAGCAACATAGGAGCTGACTTAGATCAACTGGAGGAAGATATTGAATGGTCTGGAATTTAAAGCTAAGGAATTTGAAGTTTACTTACTAGGCAATCAAGAAATACTACAGGTTTATGAACAAGGAAAGAAATTTAAGCAGTAGTTGCATATGGCTTATTGATTTGTATCAATACTAACCTTATCTAGATTAATAATAAAATAATTTCTATAGCAAATATTCAAGTCAGAAAAGGAATAAAAGGAAATCAAATACCTGGGCACAAATTTCAAGTCAATGTTTGTAACCAGTATGGTCCAGGCTGTGGGGATGGAAGGGAATGGTGCTATCTTTACTGCCCACATTCTCAGGGGCTCTGTTCCTCTCCATGGACTGCAGGGATCCCCCTTCCTAGCTCCAGTGCCCTCAACTCATGTCTTAGTTTCTGGCGCTCCTGGTGCTTGGGTGACCTGCCCTGAGGATCGCTGTCACTGACCTGAGACAGCACCACACACCACCCCGTCCAGCACAGCAGCCCACCCACCCTCAGGGAGATGCTGCTGACTCTCGGACCCTGAAGTTCACACAAGCTGCGCCTGTGTCCTCTGTTATGTTTATTTGAGAACTGTTCATCCTCCCCGACCCAATTAAGACAACGTTCTCCTGTTTTCTAGCCTCATCTTTAAAGATATTGAGGTTTTCTCATTTTTTTTCTATTTATGCTTTTTTGAGACAGAGTTTCAATCTGTTGTTGCCCAGGCTGGAGTGTAGTGGCATAATCTCGGCTCACTGCAGTCCCAACTTCCTGGGCTCTAGTGTTCCTCCCATCTCAGCCTCTTGAGTAGCTGGGACCACAGGTGTGCAATACCACATCCAGCTAATTTTGTGTTTTTTTCAGATATGAGGTCTAGCTATGTGGCCCAGGCTGGTCTCAAAATCCTGGGCTCATGCAATCTTCCTGCCTTGCCCTCCCAAAGTGTTGTGATTACAGGTGTGAGCCACTGCACTTGGCTGATTATAAAAAAATGGAATCTTTCTAGGACTTGAGACCTTCTCCCCAGGAAATTCCCCAGTTTCTTCCTTACACTTGATATATGCCTACCCTGCCATCTGACAATTTTGAGGGTAACATAGCTCACAATGTTTCCATTACTCCTTTATCCTTAAATCTTGATGTCTCCTTTCTGTGTAGGACAATAAAGCCTTCATTGTTGGGGTCTTCTCTTCTCTGTCCCAAGGGATAACGGGAGAACTTTAGGTCATGAGGAACCCTCTGAGCTCTGAGTCACCCAAGGACTGGAAATTCCTAAAAGCATGATTTCCAGACATTGTCCCTGGTCCCTGTAGATCTCTAATTGCGTCTTCTCTCTCCCACTCTTCAGTAATCAAAGACAAATTGCCTCTCCGAGAAAGTGATGGAGAAGAGAGGGAGGAGAGGCCTGGCATCCAACTAAGTCTTGAACAAGGTAAAAATGACAGAATAAAAACTATCTCTAAGAGACGTTAGGGATCCAAGGTTCTGAGTGGAGATCGTGAATCAGGGAAGACATACGGAAGGACAATGGAGAAGTCAAGGAGGGGGTTATATGAGCTCCTAACCAGATGCAGGGTTCTGGAGAAGTGGCCATGACAAGACATAGTTGGCTCAATAACCATAAGGGAATCAGAGCCAAGTGTGTCACTAGGCCAGATTTACAGATGCCAGCTACCTAGAAGTAATTGTGATTTAGAAAGTTCCCTGTAGGGGATCTGTGTGAAGTTGTGAAGGGTTAAGAACCACAGCCCATGGTCCATGGTCAACATCAAAGAGGAGACCCTTGGAGAAAGAAAGGCTCCTGTTTTACCTGTACTGTCATATTCACAACACTTCTGACACCAAACATGTCGGTGGTCTCTGCACACCAATCAGTTCTCCAATTCTCTGCAGATACCACCTGATATCTTATAATTTAATTGAATTCTGCCACTAATTGCCCAGACTTGGCACAGACTCCACAGGTTAATAGCTCATTCCCATAAGAATGCCCCCCACTTCAGATGCCAGTTGCAAGTCTCAGGTTGTGGCCTGTGCTTCCGACCAACTTCCTGTAAATTGGAGGTTCCCACACACCCTTCATTGGCTTCGATACTTTCCTAGTAGATCACACAGAGCGCATGGAAATGTCTGACATTTATTATAAAGGATACAACTCAAGAACAGCCAAGTGGAAGAAATGCATAGGGCAAAGCGTGGGGAAGGGCACAGAGCTTCTGCCCTCTTTGGGACACGACTCTCCTGGCACTTCCATGTGTTTGCCAACCCAGAAGATTTCTGAACCCAGTCACTTAGGGTTCTTTATGGACATTCCATTATACAGTCTGAGTTGATTAAATCATTGCTACCTGATTATTAAGTTAACCTCCATTCCTCCCCTCCCCTCCCTGGAGGTCAAGAGGTGGAGCTGAAAGTTCCAACCATCTAATCTCACGTTCAGCTCCCCTGGCAACCACCCCCCAATCCTTAGGGGCTTTCCAAAAGTTACCTCATTAACATGAACCCAGATGTGGTCGAAAGGGGCTTGTTATGAATAACAGAAAGTGCTCTTTTCACTTGTCATGACTTAGGATGTTTCAAGGGTTTTGGGAGCTCTGACCAGGAGCAGGGAATGAAGACTGAAATGTGTATTTCTTATGATATCACGGGAGCTACTTGGTGATGGCAGAATAGGGGAAACATTTAAATGTGAGGATGTTGTTTAAGAGCAGGAATTTTCAAAGAGAAAGGCGGTCTTGTAGAGAGACTCAGAAAGGAGGTGGTGCACATGGAAGAGGATATAAGTACCTAGAGGACGAAGGAAGGGAAATGAAACTGTAAAAAGGGGTAAAAGGCAACAAAAATCACCGTGCCATTAACAGCTCACTTTGATTGAACATCTACTCTGTGGCAGTTGGTTTAATGCTCATGACAGCCATTGGAGATTAATATTACTTATATGCCTATTTTGCAGATAAGGTAACTGAAATTCAGAGATCCCACAAATGGAGTTTACCTAGGGTCAGATGAACAAGGAAAAACCCAGGTGTTCTACCCCAGAGCCTGCATTCCTAACTCTGTGCTATCCAGGGAATCTAAAAAAAAATAAACACAGAAAAATGAGGAAATGTTTGCAGACAAAAAGATCCAGAAAAAAAGAATACCAAGAGCTGGAGGAAGCAGAGGCTACTCAGACACTGAGTCCTCATGGAAAAGCCAGTGAGAAAGCATAAACAGATGTGGAGAGGGAGGGTGTTATGTAAAAGGGGGTGGGCATGAGGCAACCAGGACTTCGAAGAAACTGAGCTAAGGGCCCTGGGCAGGGTAGCTCTGGGGACAAAGGCAGGATCACTCTGCCATAGTCAGTTACTGGAGTGTATCACAGAGGACACTCAGCAGGGTTGTCTGGTCAAGGCCCCTGTCAGCCAGGGGTGCAGCTGACCCAGTCCCCTACTCTCGAGGCTGGAGTCTGACTTCAATAATTAGGTGGCATCTGCCAGCTCCAGATGACCTCTGCACTGAGACTTAGAAGGGGTCTTTAACTCCTACATTGCAGAGACCAAAAAGGGATTAGAAGAGAATGGCAAGATCCATACCTCAATTTCTGAAATAAACTTCTAATTTCTTCCTGCCAGGAGCTGGTGAAAACTCTTTTCAAAGCCTGACTTGGCCCCGTTGGGGTTCCCCATCTCATGATGGTTTGTTCCTGTTTACTACTCTTTGAGCCTCTGCTATTCTTGCCCCATTCTGAAACGTGCTGTGGGGTTGCCTCTTTGTGTTAATGATTGCCCAGAATTTTCAGTTTTTACATCTAGTTTTTCCATTTCTGGGATTTAAGTAACAAGTCCTTATCTTGCCTAGGAGGGTTTCTTCCTCCCACACCCCTTAAGCACACTTGCTGCTTGTTCCTGCTGCCGCTGAGCCTGGTCGTTTTACCCATGTGCCTGCTTCACCATTTTCTGCCTGCATCTGCTTGAGTCTGGCTGTTGCTTGGTGCCTTGATCTTACGTCCATCAGTGGCCCACGCTGTAGTGGTTGGAAGGGAGTGACGGGCAGCAGGGGGCAAATAAAATATCTGTGAATCAAACCATGGTTTAGGTTCAACCCCATCTGAAAATGGACTCTCAGAGCACCCTTGTGAAACAGAAGAGATAAATGCAGACAGAAAAGATACAACCAGTGACAAAAATGGTTTGCTAGGAAACCAACAAACAAATGAACAATGTGCTCAAAAGGCTGAGCCAACAGGTAAGACTGACTGGGTTCACGTGAATGGGGACGAGCCAAGGGGCCCTGGCTGGTGGCAGAGGAAGAGTCTAATGCACAATGCAAGGAGACACCTGTTTAACAAGCATGGGAAAATCACACAGACACAGAAGGGGCCTGATATACGGATGAGCCTGATACACTGACATACTGATGACAAAGACCTGGAGGAAGAAAGCTAGAAGTAAAAACTGAGAGAGAAAGGGGAAGATTTGCAGAGTCTCACCAAAGAAGAGAGACAGAAACAAGAGGCAAAAGGAGAAAGTAGAGAGAGATTGGCCAGGAATCAATAAAGCACAAACACCTTCTTGCAGCAGTATATGCAGACAGGGGTATAGGTAGAAACAGGAGAAGAAAGGAGAAGCAAGGTGAGGTCTAACCAAATGGAAATAGGACAGAGCAAGGCTCCACTGGATTCTCAGCTGGGATCTCATTTATCTCCAGAATCCTGTGAACCAGTTGCTGTCCAAGTGAGTAATGGGGATGCTGGAAGGGAGACGCCCTGCCCATTGCCCTGTGATGAAGAAGGTAATTATTGCTTACCTTGCCTATTTTCTTTCCTTTCTTATTCAGACGCTATACATTTGTTGGTTGGTTGGTTGGTTGTTGTTTTACCATCGTAACTACTTTTTAAAATTAAAAACTGGATGTATTTAGCATTACATGTTGTTTTGAAATATGTACACATTGTGAAAAGGCTAACTAGCTAATTAGCATAAATAATTAGCATAAATAAACACCGTAGAGCTAATTAGCATAAATATTACCTCAGGTACTTATCGTTTTTGTAGTGATAATGCAAAATCTATTCTCTCAGTAATTTTTAAGAATACAATACATTATTAACTATATTAATCGTGTTGTATAATAGATCTCTTAATGTATTTCTCCTATCTAACTGAAATTTTGTATCCCTGGACTAACATCTCCCCAGTCCTCATCCTCATATCCCCAGCCTCTGTTACCACCATATACTCTCAGCTTCTATAAATTCAACTTTATTACACTCTACATATAAGTGAGATGTCATATATGTCTTTCTGTGCCTGTCTTATTTGACATAACATAATATCCTCCAGGTTCATGGTTGTTGTTGCAAATAACAGGATTTCTTCCTTTTCAAAGGCTAGATAGTATTTCAGTGTGTAGATGTATTTCATTGTGTATATATTTTCTTTATCCATTCACCCATTGATAGATACTTGGGTTGTTTCTATATCTTGGCTATTGTGAATACTGCTGCAATGAACATAGGAGTGCAGATATCTCTTCCATATACAGATGACCCCTGATTTATGATGGTCAGACTTATGATTTTCAACTTTACAATGGGTTTATTGAAGTATTAAATGCATTTTTGACTTATGATATGTTCAATTTATGGTAGGTTTATGGAAATGTGGTCCCATTGTAACTCTAGGAGCATCTGTACTGATTTCATATCCCTCGAATATATATTCAGTAGTGGAATTCATGGATTGTATGGGTAGTTCTACTTTTTATTTATTTGAGAACACTCCATATTGTTTTTCTTAGTGATTGTAGCAGTTTAAATTCCCAGCAACAGTGTACAAAGGTTCCCTTTTCTGCACATCCCCACCAACGTTTGTTATCTTTAGTCTTTTTGATAGTAGCCATCCTAACCAGTACGTGGTGATGTTCGTTGTGATTTTAATTTGCATTTTCTTGATGATTTCTGAAGCAGGGCATTTTTTCACATATGTGTTAGCCATTTGCTTGTGTTCCCTTAAGAAATGTTTATTCAGGTCCTTTGCCCATTTAAAAATCTGTTTGTTTGTTTGTTTTTAATATTGAGTTGTTTGAACTCTTTCTGCTAATTTTTGCCTTAGTTCTACTTCTTTGTCTAGTTTCTTGAGGTGTAACATTAGGTTGTTTGAGATCTTTCTTCTTTCTTGATGTATTCTTGTGTTTATTGCTATAAACTTCCCCTCTTATAACTGCTTTTGCTGTATCCCATAAGTTTTGATATATTATATTTCTATCTTCATTTGTCTCAAGATTTAAAACTTTTTTCCTTTTAATTTCTTCAATGACCCGTTGGTTGTTTGGGAGTCCATGTATTTGCAGATTTTTCAAAATTCCTCGTTATTGATTTCTAATTTCATATCATTGTGGTCAAAAAATATATCTGATATAATTTCAGCCTTCTTTACTTTGTTAAAACTTGTTTTGTAGCCTAACATATGATATGTCCTGTAGAATGTCCCATGTACAATTGAGAAGAGTGGTAGTTTTCTGCTTGTAGATAAAATATTCTATATATGCCTGTTGGGTCCCCTTAGTCTAAAGTATAGTTTAAGTTTGATGTGTTCTCATTGATTTTCTCCCTGGACAATCTGTCCATTGCTGAAGGTAGGGTGTTGAAGTCCCCTAGTATTATTGTATTAGTCTCTCTTTCCTTCAGGTCTATTAATATTTGTTTTATATATTTAGTTGCTCAAATATTGGGTGCATATGTTTACAATTGTTATATCATCTTGATAAATTGACTCCTTCATCATTACATGATGACCTTCTTTTTTTCTTTCTTTCTTTTTGTTTCTTTTGTTTTTGTTTTTCTTTTGGAGATAGGTTCTTGCTCTGTCACCCAGGCTGGAGTGCACTAGTGCAATCATGGCTCACTGCAGCCTCAACCTCCTGGGCTCAGGCAATGCCCGCAAGTAGCTGAGATGACAGGCATGTACCACCACATCTGACTCTTTTCTTTTTTTTTTTTCTTTTTTTTTTCATTATTTATAGAGACAGGATTGCCCTATGTTGCCCAGGCAGGTCTCAAACTTCTGGGCTCAAGCAATACTTTCACCTCAGCCTCCCAAAGTGCTGGGATTACAGATGTAAGCCATCATGCCTGGTTTTATCATGACCTTTTTTGCCTTGTTTTATATTATTTGATTCAAACTGTATCTCATCTGACGTAAATATACCTATGCCTTCTTTCTTTCATTTCCATTTACATGAAATATCTTTTTCTATCTTTTCACTTTAAGTCTATGTGTATCCTTAAAAGTGAAGTGAGTGTCTTGTAGGCCACGTATACTTGGTTCATGTTTTTTAAATTCATTCAGCCACTCTATATCTTTTTATTGGAGAATTTAATCTATTTACATTTAATATAATTACTGATAGGTAAGTACTTTCTTTTTTTTTTTTTTTTTTTTTTGACAGAGTCTCGCTCAGTCGCCCAGGCTGGAGTGCAGTGGCACGATCTCGGCTCACTGCAAGCTCTGTTTCCCGGGTTCATGCCATTATCCTGCCTCAGCCTCCCAAGTAGCTGGGACTACAGGCACCCACCACCACGCCTGGCTAATTTTTTGCATTTTTAGTAGAGACGGGGTTTCACCATGTTAGCCAGGATGGTCTCGATCTCGTGACCTCGTGATCCACCCCCCTCGGCCTCCCAAACATTTTGTTTATTGTTTTCTGCTTGTCTGTAGATTCTTTATTCCTTTCTTTCTCTCTTACTGCCTTCCTTTGTGATTAGGTGATTTTCTCTAGTGATACACTTTGATTCCTCTTTATCTTTTGTGTATTCACTGTAAGTTGTTGCTTTGTGGTTAACATGAAGTTACACAAAATATCTTATAACAGGCTCTTTTAAGCTGATAACAACTTAATTTTGATTGCCTACAAAAACTGCACTTTTACTTTACTCCCTCATTTAAAATGTTTGATGTCAGAGTTTACATCTTTTTTTATAGTGTATACCTTAACAAATTATTGTAGCTACTTTTTAAAAAAAATTGTCTTTTAACCTTCATACTAGAGGTAGAAGTGATTTACACACTACCGTTACAGTATTAGAGTATTCTATATTTTGACTGTACATTTACTTTACCAGTGAGTTTTATACTTTCTTATATTTTTATATTATTAGTTAACATTTATCTCTTTCAGCTTTAGCATTTCTTGTAAGACAGGTCTGGTGGTGATGAATGTATTCATCTTTTGTTTTCCTGGCAGAGTCTTTATCTCTCCTTTATTTCTGAAAGACAGCTTTGCCAAGAAAAGTATTCTTGGTTGTCAGGTTATTTGGGGGCACTTTGAATATTTCATCTCATTCTTTCCTGATCTGTAAGGTTTCTGCTAAAAAGTTCACTGCTACCTTTATTAAAACTCTCTCATGTGTTAGTTGTTTCTTTTCCTCTATTGCTTTCAGGATTCTCTCTTTGTCCTTGAATCTTAACAGCTTATTATAGTATGTTTTGGTGTAGTCTTGTTTGCATTGAATCTGATTGGAGATCATTGACCTTCTTGTACCTGGAAATTTATGTCTTTCACCAGATTGGCAAAGTTTTATACTATTATCTCTTTAAATTAACTTTCTACTTTTGTCTTTCTCTTCCCTTTTATGAATTCCTATGATTCAAATATTTGCTCTTTTGATGTGTTTCATAAATCCTGTAAGCTTTCTTCATGACTTTCCATTCTTTTTTCTTTTTGTTCTCTGACTGTATTTCAAATAACCTGTCTTTGAGTTCATATTCTTTCTTCTGCATGATCAATTCTGCTGTTGATGTTCTCTGATGCCTTTTTAAATTTCATTCATTGTGTTTTTCAGCTCTAGAATTTCTGTTTGATTTTTTTAAATAATTTCAATATCTCTGTTAAATTTCTCATTTTGGTCGTTTATTATCTTCCTAATTTTAGTGAATTGTTTCTCTATATTTTCTTAAGGTTTGCTGAGATTACTTAAAACAATTATTTTGAATTCTGTGTAAGGCAGTTTGTTATCTCCATTGCTTTGGGGTCTGCTGTGGGGAGATTATTGTGTTCTTTTGGTCATGTTATGTCTCTTTGGTTTTGATGTTTCTTGTTGCCTTACATTTATGTCTGTGCATTTGAGAAAGTAGGAATTATTTTAGTCTTTGCAGGTTGACTTTGTCTGGGAAAGCCTTTCATCCTATTTAAAGATTCTAGGAAGGCCATCTGGCATGGTTCAAGGGCAGGTTTGCTGCTAGAGTCCTCAAGCAGGCTGGTCTGGTGCCTAGGACAACCAGTGGGCAGGTCTGTGCTGGGGGGAACATTGAACCAGAATCTGCAGGGTTCTACACCACTGGTGCAGGCTTCTTTAGGCACTTCAGTAGGCCTGAAGCCCAGTGCTATTGAAGCCAGCCAGCTGCTGGGATGGGCCTAAAGCCCAGTGCCACTGGGTCCAGTTTGTCACTCAGTCTGGTCTGGATCGTGGGGTCACCGAGGCTGAAATAGAGCTGTAGGAGGCTGGAGACTGAGTTTGCAGGGCTGGACTGAATCCTGGGGCTGCAGGATTTAGGTTGGGGTCAGGGTGAGCTTGGAGGTTCCGACCATGGGTACTGGCTAGAGTCTGGGGCTTTGGGAGCCAGATTTTATTGAAGACAGTTCTGTGGTTTGGGTCTAAGGCAAAGTCTTGTGCTCACTTCCTTCTCCTTTCCCCAAGCATATGGTATCTCTCTCAGTGCTGTGCTTCCTGGAGTTGGAGAAGGTGACACAGTGAAACTTTTCTTCCTGCCCTTTTCAATGTGCTCCTTCTTATTTCTGTGTTACACCCAGGTGCTGTGATCTTTCATCTGGTTTCCTCAGCTCTTGCAAAGGTGTTTTCATGCATAGGTAGTTGTTCACGTCAGTGTTTCTGCAGGGGAAGGAAGGCTGGAGAGTCCTATTCTGCCATCTTGCTCTGCTTCTCCCCAATTTTCTAATCATATCTTTATTTCTCTATAAGCGCAAAACTTTCCTTTGTTTTCTTATACTAACTGCCTACTCCCACCCAAGACACACAGACTTTGTTCACAGCCTCTGGCTGCTTTTAACAGGTATGAGATGGAAGGGAAAAGAGAGTGAATCTTTTTAACGGAGGGCCTGTCCCTGGTTAGAGAATGCAAGAAGAAAGAATACAAAAGAGGTTAACTAGGGAATATTAAATAACAAAATACAGTTGACCCCTGGACACTGTGGGGGGTTAAGGGTACCAATGCCCTATACAGTCAAAAATTTGCACATAACTTTTACCTACCCCAAAACTTAACTGCTGTTGACCAGAAGCCTTACTGCTGACATAAACAGATGATAACACATATTTTCCATATGTATTATGTGCTGTATTCTCACAATGAAGTAAGATCTCCAAAGTAAAATGTTATTAAGAAAATCGTAAGGAAGAGAAAATATATTTACTATTCATTAAGTGGCAATAGATAATCATAAAGATCTTCATCCTCATCACTGAGTAGTTTGAGGAGGAGGAAGGAGAGGACGGGCTGGTCTTGCTGTCTCAGGGGTGGCAGAGGTGGAAGAAAATCTGCATACAAGTGGACTCATGTAGTTCAAGCCCCTGTTGTTCAAGGACCAACTGTATATGAGTGAAACAGATTTTAGATAAAGTGACATGGTATCCATACATTGCCATGTTGTGGAGTTGATGAATAGAAATATGTTGCAAGTTACTTTTCAAAAGTTATCATGAAAACATAGAAATTATGCATGATGCTGCTTGTCAGATTTTCAAAGGAAGGAAGCCCAGGTGAAAGACCTTCAGGAAGGAATGGCAAGTGGGGGGACTCTGGTGTGGTAGACAATGGCACTGGAAGAGACCTTTGGTAATGACTGGAATGTTTGAGATGAGGAAGATACAGAAAGACAAAAAGTGATGTAGCGCTCACCCAGATGCAAAAGTGTTTTTGGAGAAAAAAAGTGACATAGAAGAAGCTTGCAGAGGTAACATTAATAATTAAGAAATAAAGGCTGACTCGAAGCAGGTAGGAAATGTAACAGAGATGCAACGTTACATAGGGGACAACAGGCCTGGCACGAGTTGAGGCAGGAAAGCCCCCAGGGCACAGCTTGTAAGGAGATCTCACTTGGCATATGAGACTGAGCTTCCTTAAATTTCAAGGCACCCAAGGCACTACCTTCATCTCACCCTAGTTCTGACTCTAAGAGACAGTAATTTTTAAAAAGTGTAGATTAAAAAAAAAGTACGAATAGAAAAAAAAATAGAGGGAAAAAAATACCAAGAAATAGGAAAAATGGAGGAAGGCACAAAGAGAAGTATGCAGAAAATGAGTTAAAAGACAATGAATGAAAATTGGTAGAGAGTGGATCACACAAAGAAGGGAAGAGAGAAGACAAATCAAGACATTCTCTGATCTAAGGAGACAAGAACGGGAAAGGAGGCACAGGGTTTGTCCTATTACTATGGAGGACCAGCTGCCTCCTTATAGAAATGGCCCCTGTGACTCCACCTCCACCCCCAGATTACAATAGGCCTCTCCTCAGGCATCACTTCCTCTCCATGGCTCAATCACCATCTAGGACCTGTTGATTTCTAAACATACGTCTCCAGCTCAGACCTGTCCTCTTGACTCCTATCCCCAATTGCCTGAAGACCTTTATTTAAAGACCTGAAGAACATCTCTCTTCAGGAGCTGCATCTGTCATCTATTGCTGTGTAGTGTAACAAACCATCCTGAAACTTAGTGGCTTAAAACAATCATCATTTCATTTGCCACTTCTGTCAATCCCAACTTTAAAATATCTCTAACTTGTCCGTTTCTCTTCATCCCCAGCACAAACACCCTAATCTAGATCCCTGTCACTCTCACTAAAATTAGAGGAACAGTCTCCTGTCTGGCCCCCAACCTTACTCCTCTCAAGTCTGCACCTCACCTGAATGGACTTTTCCAAAATAGAAACCAGTTGATATGACTCTCCTGTTTGAAAGCCAGTGCCTTCACGTGGCCCTTAGCAGTAGGTCAACACTGCTTGGAGTGGTGAATTGAAGGATGCCTACCACGCACCTGCACATTCCCCATCACCCTCTTCTCACCCCTTCATGCCACATTCCCACCACACTAAGCTTCCTTTACTTACTGGAATTTGCCAAGCTCTCTTTCTTTCATCTCTGCCTTTATATATGCTTTTGGGAAAACAGTTGGGGGTAATCTTCCAAAGCTGAAAATATACATACCCTATAACTCAACAATTACATTCCTCAACAGAAACCAACAGAAATGTGTGTTATGTCACCAAAACACATAGAAAAGAATGCTCAGGGCAGCATTATTCATAGAAGCCAAATGCTTGAAATTGCACAAATGAATAAATAATTCATGGCTTATTTTTATAATGGAATACTATCTAGTAGTGAAAATAATAATTCAAAATGAATACAGATGACTTTCACAAGCATGTTGAGTAAAATATACATATAATTTTGGGGGATTTGGCTTCTTTGGGGAGATCTATATATATTGAGAGAGAGGTGGGGGAGAGAGAAAGAGCGAGAGAAAAGAGATGATTCAATTTATATAAATTACACAGCAAGCAAACTTAATCTCGGTGTTTGAAACCTCAATGATAGTTGGCTTTGAGCAAGTTAGTGGAAACAGTGGGAAGTGTCACTAGGAGGTATCTGGGGTATTGGTAATCTGTTTTTTGATCAAAGTGATTTACTTCCTTTGTGATCGTTCAAAACCCACTTTTATTCATCTGTCTTATACTACCATTATAATTTTTATTTTTTTTAAAAAAGCAAAATAACCATCAAAGGATGAGAAGAGCAGGTAAAGGGAAAGGTAAAAAACAAAACAGAGCCAAGAGAGGCACAAAGGAAGGGACAGAGTTGAGCAAAAGGAAAAACAGGGAGGTGGGGTGAAGGTCTAGCCCCAGCAGCGAAATTGCAGAGAGGAGGAGTTATTAATGATAGTGAAGGAGGTCCACTGGGGAGACAAATGAAAACTCTTCATTTATTATAATTTGGCCCAGGGGCAGAGCCACACAACCATGGAATCCAAATTAATTCCTGTTCTGTGCGACTGGTGGATATAAAAAAGGAAAAACCATGTTGTACTTCAAATGCTGAACGCCAAGCCCAGGCATCTGACATAATAGGTAAGGCTGCCCAGGAGAAGTTGTAACTGTGAGTCACAGGTTACCAGGTAAGGGACTCGGGGACTTCATCAGGGCCCATCGGGGCAGTGCAGGTACCTGGGATGGAGGCAGGAAGGGAAAGGGGCTGGTACCTGATGCAGTGAGTCTTCAGCTTGACAGAAGAAAGTCCTTGGGAGCTGGGAAAATACCAGAAGACAGAAATGGAGGTAATCAGTAAGAATGTCAGAGAGGCTATTTCTGAAGTCAGAGAGGGCTGGCTCATGCCTGTAACCCCAGAACTTTGGGAGGCTAAGGCAGGCAGACCACTTGAGTCCAGGAGCTCAAGATCAGCCTGGGCAACATGACGAAACCCCATCTCTACAAAAAATATGAAAATCAGCCAGACAAGATGACAATGTCTGTAGTCCCAGCAACTTAGGAAGCTGAGACAAGAGCGTCGTTTGAGCCAGGGACGCGGAAATTGCAGTAAGCCAAGATTCTGCCACTGCACTCCACATTGGGCAACAGAGCAAGACTCTGTCTCAAAAAGAAAAGAAAAAAGAAAAAAGAAATAAAAATAAAAATAAAGTAAGAGAGGAAGTTATGGGAGAGGAGTTTAAAAAAAAAAAAAAAGATCAGGGAGCCAAGATATTCACAAGAGGAGGTGAGGGGAGAAACACAGCAGACAAAGAGAGGTATAAAGAGACACCATCACCAGAAACAGAGGCAGAAGCAGGGGAGATGGCAGAACAAAGGGGAAAGATGAGAAGTAAAATGAGAATGAAAGAAAAAAGTAGAATGAGGGTTGGGGTAAGAACAGTGTCAGTGGATGGGCACAACTGCCTTCTGTGTGTCAATTTTATCAGCTTTTGGTTAAGAACCTGGAACAAACTGCAGGTGGCATGCATTCCAGGAACACTCCAGGGTCTTGAGTTAACTTAGCTTTCCGGGTCTTCCTAGTGCTCTTATTGTGGAATTTCCTGGTGCGTGGACTCCTTGGTCACACCCTGAGACTCTTAATGGTTTTTGCTCCTTTGTGCAGTCATCAGCAGTGAGGACTCTGAAGGATCCACCGATGTTGATGAGCCCCTAGAAGTCTTCATCTCACCAGTGAGAAGTAAGCCTGGTAAGGAAGTTTAGGAGAGCAAGACTTGGGCTGTGGGAATCTGATTTAAAAGTTACTGTTTCCTGATGCATTTTATTCTGAGCTCATTCTGTACAATGGTTCCATTTTATCCTGGGATCCCATTATTTGCATTAATTTTACTTGACCTTTTTGGAAACTGCAGAGAGACAAGAAATTGTTATAAACTTATTTTTGAGAAATAGCCTTCTTTCTTGATGGATTCTATTAATCAATATTCATACCCATACATTGATTATATAGCAGGAATAGGTTAGCAAAGTGATGAGTTTGTTTTTAAAACTAACTAGTTGCTACGTCTATATAATGTTAGATTTATATAGTGGCTTTTATAGAGAATAGAAAGCTAAATATTCCTTTATGGGAAGATCTTATTGTCACCTGATCACGAACTTTGAATAGGATCAAAAGACATCTCATCCAACTATCTGGTGTTGGCAAAAATAAACACCTGAGATAAAGTATTCTGAAACCTGAAGTATTGTTTCTGACAGCATTCTTCAGCAAGTAATGGCACATTTAGTGATTTTTCAAAAGACTTTTGCAGATTGTCTTACTTTTAAATTTACGATAACCTTAAAAGGGTAAACAGAATAGAGATTCTCATCCTTGTTTCCTAGAAGAGAGAACACAATTGCATAAATGCTTCAAAGTCATCTCCACAATCTCATGGTAAATTAAAGACAAGGCTAGTATCCTGGATTCTGAGTTACTTCCTTTGTGAAATGAAAGACAGAAACATTATTAAAATCTTGTATTATCTCAATCCTATTTGCAGCATGAGTTGTCATAAGATTTATAACTTTTTAGTGTTCAAATTGGTTGATTTGTTTTGCCCTTTACTTTCTAGATCCAGGGGATATTAGAAACATGCCACTTTAGGGAAAATACACTAGGGAAAGACCTAAGAGCAAAGAAGAACCTCATCTTGATGTTATAAAATAACAATGTAGTAATACATTCATTCTAATTGCTCACTGCATCTTTCAAAGTAAAATGTAAATTTGCATTAGTTTTTAGACAGTACATACTCTAACTTTGATCTTGGTGTAAGCAAAGCGCTCTAAAAATTAGTCCCAAAATATGTCTTTGGCTCAAACACAAGAGGAAGTTATTTCTCAGCCTTGTAAACAATTCAGGAAGGCACTGTGTTGGTGGGAGATAGAAGAGGCTCACATCTTTAACAGAAGATCTTCAAAGTCTCCCTGCATGAAAAATAGAAGCAGAAACAAAGGAAATGTGGAGTGGCAAGTAGAAGGGATAAGAAGTAAAAGAAGTGTGGGAAAGCAAAGGCCAAGCAAACCAAAATTTCCCTCTGGGGACAAGAATGGAGTATCGCTAACCCACAATGCAGGTAACTTGAAAGGATCGAGACAAGCGTGGCCTGTGTACAGGCGAGGACTTGCAGGCATTTTCAAGGTTTTCTAGGTTTTCTTATTAGGGAATTTCCTACTGAATTGATTCCTTGGTCACACACCGAGACCTCTAAAGAATCCCATTCTTTTATGCAGTGATCAATAATGACAACTCTTTAGAATCAAATAAGGAAAAGGAGGGCCAAGAAGCCACTTGCTCACGACCCCAGACTGTACCAGGTAAGAATATTAGAGTTGCAACCCGAGGCTGCAGGATATCCAGAGTACAAATCCAGAACTCTGTTTTCTTGATTAGTTTCATTCCGAGTGGTCTCCTTATTCCTTGATTCTGTAAATTCTAGAATACCACTTTCTACATTTAACCTCTCTGGCCCTATTGAGAAACGGAAGACATTAGGAAGACGTTATAAACTCTGGTTGAACTGGATTGGTTCAATCGACTGACACATTGAAAATGTAGCAAAAATATTCTAGTAAAATAACAGTCTTTTTTAACAACAAACTATCAAGAGTTATTATGTTAAGGGTCGAAATAATGTACTTATTCTCTACTACTACCCTTTATATTTGATAGAGCATGATAAGCACAGTCTTCCTTTATTCATTGATAATATTGTCTTAATCACAAGCTCCGAAAGTCTTCAAAGAATAATTTGTGCTGCTATTTAATTATTAATGGAAAAACAAAAAAGGGGGGACTTCAGCTACACCCAAACCCAAATTATAGTTCACTCATTGGCTTACATTGTGATTTTTCACAGGGCTTTTGTAAACGAACCTTCATTTCCCCATCACAAAAACCTTAACAGGGAGGTAGAGTAACTAGTTTATCCCTGCTTTATATGTGAGAAAATGGGAGCTAGTGGTGTTTAAGAGTCATTTACAACCAGGCACGGTGGCTCACACCTACAGTGCCAGCACTTTGGGAGGCTGAGGCAGGTGGGTTGCTTGAGTTCAGGAGTTTGAGATCAGCCTGGACAACATGGAGAAACTCAATCTCTACCAAAAATATAAAAATTAGCCAGGCATGGGCCGGGTGCGGTGGCTCACTCCTGTAATCCCAGCACTTTGGGAGGCCGAGATGGGCAGATCACGAGATTAGGAGTTCGAGACCATCCTGGCCAATATGGTGAAACCCTGCCTCTACTAAAAATACAAAAATTAGCAGGGCGTGGTGGCGCTCGCCTGTAGTCCCAGCTACTCAGGAGGCTGAGGCAGAAGAATCACTTGAACCCGGGAGAGGGATGTTGCAGTGAGCCGAGATCATACCACTGCACAACAACTTGGGTGACAGAGCGAGACTCCATTAAAAAAAAAAAAAAAAAAAAAAAAAAAAAAAAAAGGGGGGGGGAGGGGGGAAATGGAGGCTGGGAAATTGAGGCTGCAGTAAGTTACGATTGTGCCACTGCACTCCAGCCTGGGTGACAGAGACCCTGTCTCAAAAAAAAAAAAAAAAAGAAAAAGAATGAGATCATGTATTTTGAGAGAACATAAATGGAGCTGGAGGCTATTATCCTTAGCAAACTAATGCAGGAATGGAAAAGCAAATACCACATGTTTTCACTTGTAAGTGGGATCTAAATTATAAGAACTTATGAACACAAAGAAGGAAACAGCAGACACTCGGGTCTACCTGAGGATGGATGGTTGGAGGAGGGAGAGGAGCAGAAAAGATAACTATTGAGTACTGGGCTTAATCCCTGGGTGACGAAATCATCTGTACAACAAACTCCTGTGACACACGGTTACCCATGTGACAAACCTTCACATATATCCCCAAACCTAAAATAAAAGTTGAAAAAATTTAATAAAAAAGAGGCATTTCCAAATAATACACACAGAGGATTACAGGGATTGCTGGGCAGGATCCCAACATTATGACCCTGAACCTCCAGAACTGGATTCACTAGAAGGAGAGAGAGAAAAATGCTCATCAAAATTTCGTTATTGGTGGGGTGTGACGGCTCACGCCTGTAATCCCAGCATTTTGGGAGGCCAAGGCAGGCAGATCACCTGAGGTCAGGAGTTCGAGACCGGTCTGACCAACATGGTGAAACCCCATTTTTACTAAAAATACAAAAATTAGCATGGTGGCGGGTGCCTATAATCCCAGCTACTCAGGAGGTTGAGGCAGGTGAATCACTTGAACCCGGGAGGCAGAGGCTGCAGTGTGCCAAGATCACGCCACTGCACTCCAGCCTGGGTGATAGAGCAAGACTCCATCTCAAAAAAAAAAAAAAACTTTCTTATTAACCCAAGCCCATTTGCCATGTCAGTTGTCATAAAATTTATAACTCTCTTGCATACAAATAACGAGTTTCTCCCTTTTACTTTACAGAGCCCATGGATTCCAGAAAATCATCTATATTCAGAGAAGGGTTTAGGAAAAGAGGTAAGAGAAAATAACAACTCTTCATGGTTATAAATGAACAATATTTTCTACAAAAGAGTCAAACTAATTCCTTGCTATATCCTTCAAAGTAAAATATAAATTTGCTTTAAATTTCAATGGTTCCTATTTTAACTTTTGTATTAGTTAGGTTGGCTAACTGCTATAACATATGAACCCAAAGAAGTCAATGACTCCAATACAACGAAAGGTTTTTTATTTTTTTTAGTAGAAGTTTATATTTTTTTCAACTGAATATTTCAAGGATTTTTAGATGGGGAAGAGGTTGGGCTCTGTTTCAAGCAGTTCTTCAGGGAAGCAGGCAAGTAGAAGATCTGCCTTCTTTGATCCTAGACTTCCATGGTTGCCCTGAGAGAGAAGCAAATGTACAAATAAATACAAATCCATATACAAAAACCACAACAAATCCATAAAGAGACAAGTAAAGAAAGAAAGATAATGTGGTGTAAGAAGACAGAGGGCCAAGACAAAGCAGAGATGCCCACTAGGGCTAAAATTTTCTCAGCCTCAGGCTCAGGTGACAGTGAGGGATAAAATACTAACCTTGAGCTACAAAAATCTGAATCAAAAGGCAGATCATGGAGGTTTGAGGGCACGGACATTCTTGCCCTGAAATTTCAGAGCATCGCAAATTTTTCCTAGTTTCCTTTTCGTAGAATATTCTTCTGGCTTGGTTCCCTTATCATACATTGAGACCTCCAAAGGACATTTGCTCCTTTCTGCAGTGATAGGACAAGACCACAACTTTTCAGACTCCAGTGAGGAGGAGGCGCCCCCAGAAGTCTTAAGCGGGGTACTGAGAAGCAAGCATGGTGAGACGGGTAAGAACAGCCCCCTTGACTCCAGGGCTCTGACTTCAGAGCATCTCTTCCCTGGTACACTGTGCTCTAGGCATGCACAACAGCTATCCAGGAGCCAGTTCTCTGCATCTAACTCATCTGGTCCTTTTGAAAAATGCAAAGAAAGAAGTGACTCTAAATTCAGACTTAACGAGATGGTTGTGGTTGAGTGGCAGTGCCCTGTTTACTACATACTGCCTGTATTAGTCCTTTTTCATGTTGCTGATAAAGACATACCTGAGACTGGGTAATTTACAAAAGAAAGAGGTTTAATGGACTTACAGTTCCACATGACTGGGGAGGCCTCACAATCATGGCAGAAGGTGAAAGGCACGTCTCACGTGGCGGCAGACAAGAGAAGAGAGCTTGTGCTGAGAAACTTCCCCTTATATAATCATTCAGATCTTGTGAGACTTATTCACTATCACGAGAACAACACAGGAAAGACCTGCCTCCATGATTCAATTACCTGCCACCGGGTCCCTCCCACAACACATGGGAATTCAAGATGAGATTTGGGTGGGGACACAGCCAAACCATATCACTGCCAGACCTATTAACTCCAAAGTATTAGATTTATGGAGTGATTTCTACTTCTGCCCATTCCCTGTTTTATAGAGAAGAGAAAGTACATTAGTCTGGTATTGCTTGATTTTGTCACAAACTTGTTCAAAATTCCAAAGCTTCTGGTCATACTCTCTAGTTATTGACAGAAAGACAGGCTCCTGGTTCTTACCATCAAATTCAATTCATAGCTTTTGACAGATGGCCCCTAACATGAAATTGGCCAAATAGTGATATTTGTGAATATATTTGCAAATAAGATCTTCTTGCATCTTTACAACAACCTAAAATGTGGGCAAGATAACTATTGTTCCCCCCATTTGACAGATGGGGAAACTCAGGCACACTTAAGGATCTTTTTTCTTTGCACATCATATATGAAAAGTTATGGGAAGAGACAAGACTAACAGCCCGAATTCTTAATAAATATTCATAATCCTCTATAAAACCTTCAAAGCTAGATGTACTTCAAAGTTCAAAAAATGTTTTATTATTTTAGAAAGACAATGTGATTTATATTCTATATACAACAAAATACCCCAGTAGGATCCAGGAAGAATCCCATTCTCAAATATACTAATGTTTATACAGCAAATTATATAAATATTCACACGAAATGTGATAAGATTTTACATAGACTCATGGCAACTCAAGTCCAGATTCACTGCCAAATTTGTTAACTGCAAACCTATGAAAACAATATTGGTTATTAAAATATCTTCAAGACCAGGTGTGGTGACTCACGCCTGTAATCCCTATACTTTGAGAGGCTGAGGCAGGTGGATCTTTTGAGCCCAGGAGTTCAAGACCAGCCTGGGCAACATGGCAAACCCCATTTCTACAAAAAAATACAAAAAATTAGCTGGGCATGGTGGTGCACGTCTGTAGTCCCAATAACTTGGGAGGCTGAGGTGGAAGGATCATTTGAGCCTGGAAGGTCAAGACTATAGTGAGCCAAGATTACACCACTGCCCTCCAACTTGGCTGACAGAGTGAGACCCTGTCTCAAAAAAAAAAAAAAAAAAGGTCACTAATTTTGCAATTACACTAAAGGATTGTGGATCTGTGCTCCATTTCATAGTAATCCCTTCCCCTTAGATGGGAAGAGACAGAAATGATCCTCAGAGAATATTTGTAGTCCAAATTCTGTCAACAGTGTAAGTAAGCAGCCATAAGACTTATAGATCTTTTAGTTAGATATTATTGATTTGGTTTTCCTTTACTTTCTAGATCCTGTGACTTCTAGAAGTACATCTACTTGGGGAATACCCAACAGGAAGAGACGTAAGAGCAATTAAAAACTCTTGATGTAACAAATGTCTTTCTTTGCTACAAAAGCTACATTCAGTTTTTTTTGTTATATCCTTTAAAATAAAAAATTAATTTGTTGGGATTTTAGATGATTTGCATTTTACATTTTCTTTTTTTTTTTTTGAGACGGAGGCATTTTACATTTTCAACTAGATGAGTTGGGCTAGTATAAAACATAAACCTCAAAATGTTCAAAGGTACAAGTTCAACATAAGTTTATTTTTCACTCACATAAATAGGGTAAAGTAGTTCCTGAGTGGAAGGGGTGCCCACACAGTCATTCAGGGCCCAGCTGATGGAGGCTCTGACATCTTTAAAATGTTGCTTCCATGGTTCCCTTGGATAAGAAACTGAGATGGAAGCAGAAGTATGTGCAAACTAATAATGAAAGGATAAGAAGTTTAAGAAACAACGTCATCCCCAGCCCCAGCCTCAGAGAGGGCTCCTGGAGCAATCTTGACCAACAGGTCAGATGATCAAAGCCAAAGGGTGGCCTAGTAGTAGGAATATTTCTCCCCCTCCTACACAAGCTTCTCTTGTTCAGTTTTTCTTTTAAAGAATTCCCTACCGACTTCTTTAAAGAATTTTCTTTTAAAAAATTCCCTAAGACTCAGACTAAGACTGTTAAGGAATTTTTTTTTTTCTGCAGGTTTCAGCAGCAGTGACTTTTCAGAGCTGAGTAATGGAGAAGAGCTTCAGGAATCCTGCAGCTCATCCCTAAGACGTGGGTCAGGTAAAGAAGATTAGGATGCCAAGACTTGGCCTGCAGAATGTCAGGAATCTGAATTAAAAGCTGCTGTTTCCAGATACTTTTTATTCTGAGCACCTTGACTGCCTTGTATCCAGTTCATCTGGGAACTCCTTTTTGCATTTTAGAAAATAGAAAGAGGCAGGAAATTATGATAAACTCATGTTTAACAGAATGAGTCTCACTGACTAAATGTATGTAATTATATTTTGCTGTTGTCGAAGAAATAAATAGCAAATTTGTGGATCCTTTTTTAAAAAACCTGCTCTCATTCCTGTTAACACTAAGATCTTAGATTTTTACAGTGATAAATGGGTTGACATCAATGTCGTTTGTAATTGTAAAGCCTCCTACTATGTAATTATAGACAGAAATAAAAACTTCAGATCGAACACTCTCAAACGTTAGTATAGTTTTTGGCAGATGTCCTTCATCATGTAATTGGATTATATTGTGTTATTTCAATGTATTTTGGCAAATAAGATCTTATTTTATCCTCACAAAATTTTTAAGACATAGTCAGGCTAACTCTTACTAAACCCATTTTGGGGTGAGGAAATAGACGTACAGAAGTATTAGGGCCAAAAAACTAAAGAAACAATAGAAACTAGCAACCCAGGTGTCTCATGGTGGGTGACTGTTGTATGTAACAGACAGGAGGATAAGAGCTGTGTCATTTAAGTCAAAGTCCAAAGAAGATGCACAAGGAACTCAGAATATTCACAGGAGACTATACCAGTGCCTGATGCCAGAAAGCTTATTTAGCAACAACTGTGAGCGTGTGTGAGCATGTGTGTGTGTGTGTGTGTGTACACATGCATATATTTGTTACGTATAACATGTATACATACATAAACACACACATATGTGTGTGTGTGTGTATATATATAGGTTAATAATATAATCTTTATGGGGAAGGAAAAATTGAAATCGCAAAGAGACAGAATAGGAATGGAACCAGCTATATAATATACAAAATACCTAGAAAGATAGAAGCAAAATGGATAAACATAGAAATAAAGGAGAACAGAACATCATTGAATGAAACAGAAAAAGCAACACAGGAGACAAGAAAAATCAAAGGGAGATGAGTTCACCTAATCAAAGAGATAGAGACAAAAATGTATAGCAGCAGGGCAATGGGCAGAAAAATGAGAAGTAAGGAGGAGAATGAGGTGTGGTTAGATAGAGTAGGGCTGTGAGGTGTACTCATTGATGTAGGTGTATTTTTTTGTCAGTTCATCTAAGCTCTGAAAATAGTTCAGCATGACCACATTGAGACAGGTTCCCTGGTTTCCTGGTCACTGTCTATAGTCTATTATTTCCTTGCTTATCTTCATTGTCCTGTGAATTGAAAGCTCCTCCAATGAATACAATGAATACACAAAGAGAGTCAGAAGAGATGCAGCCCATTAGCTTGTGATGGAGAAGCCAATTATGATGTTAATTATTAATTATCTTTATTTTCCTACTTGCATGGAGGAAAAGCTCTTTTTTCTTTTCCTTACCTCTCCCCCAAAACATATGCACACACACATACACACCACACACACAAAGACTTGTGCACAGACTCTGGCTGCTTTCAACAGGTTTGAGGGAACCAAAAGAAAAAGAAGAGCTGGGCTCCTGAATGGAGGGAGGAGACACTGGGTGGATAAAGTAAGGAGAAAGAGTGGAGAAAGGTAGGCAAGAGTCACCAAATGGAAAGATGTAAGAGTCAGCTTCAAGTTTTTCTAAGTGGACAAGGAATTCAAATATTCCGGGTTTTGTGGGGGAGGGGGATAATTTTCAAGATACTTCTCAGAAATTGTACCAGAAACGTGAAAATAAAATTGGTGATTGATTGACAGCCTTGCAAGTTAGAAAGCTCATAAGGAACAGACAAAGGTAATAGAGATGGCTATGTGGTCAGTGTCCAAACTGCAGGCATTTGGTGATGAAAGTAATAACCTGTGAGATAAAGACAAATATAGATGAAGAAAATGGGGATAAAGACAAAGATTGAAATTGCAAAAACAGTCAAGATCAAGATAAGGGCCGGGCACGGTGGCTCACGCCTGTAATCCCAGCACTTTGGGAGGCCGAGGCAGGTGGATCACGAGGTCAGGAGATCGAGACCATCCTGGCTAGCACGGTGAAACCCCGTTTCTACTAAAAACACAAAAAATTAGCCAGGCATGGTGGTGGGCGCCTGTAGCTCCAGGTACTTGGGAGGCTGAGGCGGGAGAATGGCATGAACCTGGGAAATGGGTCTTGCAGTGAACCGAGATTACACCACTGCACTCCAGCCTGGGTGACAGAGTGAGACTCCATCTCAAAAAAAAAAAGATCAAGATAACATTCAGAGAAACAAAGCTAGAAGAGAGAACAGGAGGAGGAGGTGATATAGAAAGAAGTTTACCTCAATAATAAAACTAGATCTAGAACCATAAACAGGAAAACAGGTGGAATGAGATACATACAAAGGGTTATAAATGGAGTGGTATAAAAAATTAGGTACAACGAGAAGTATGTAGAGAAAGAATCAAAAGATGAGAGAAAAATAGAGGTGAGAAGGGGAAAGTGTAAAAGGGACAGAAAAGAATGATGGAGAAATTGTAGGATCTGAAATGACCATGAGATAAAAGCAATTTTAGCCCAAGGCATGATTCATAATAGCAGTAAGTTTTCAGAGTAAAGTGTCCCCTGGCCCCTCTGACTCACCCAGATTACAAAAGCCCTCACCCAGGCATTTCATCCACTCCTATGATTTCGATCACCACCCACAACCTCATGATTCCTACATGTGTATCTCCAGCCAGCCCTGTCTTCTAAACTCTTTATCCAAGTGTCAGAAGGCTCCTGTTGGAGGTCCTGAAGGCCTTAGACTTCACCACTTGGATGTTACTCAAGACCTTCAAAGTCAACACCTCCAAAACTGAGCACATCACCTTTTTCCCTAAAACCAGCCTTTGCTCCTCCAGTGTTCTCCATCACTGAAACAAACTATTAATTGACCCTTTATTTCAAGATGAAATTCTCAGGGTTATTCATGAATAGAAGGGACAAATACAGTGAGAAACCACAAAAGAAAAAGAGATTTCGGAGGTAGAGCCCATCCCTTAATTTAGCTGTGGGGAGTGGGTAGTCACTGACGTTGGGGGAAAGGAGAATCTTGGAGGAGAGTGGGCACAAATAAAAATGTTTACAAATCACAATTTAGGATCAGAGCTACAAGGACCTGAAAATGAGAAGTGCCCCTGTGTCATGTGTTTTCCAAAAGGTGTGCCAAGAAGCCAAGAAGCAAGGACTGAAAGTAGTCAAGCATCTGATATGATGGGTAAGGCTACCCTAAGGTCTTGGGATGGAAGTGGCTCAATGGATATCACAGACACTGGGTAGGGATGTGGGAAGTGATCAGAGTTGAAGCAAAGCATCAGGCAATCTCTGGATCACCAGCAGGAAGTGGGCCCACAGACCCCAAGCTTCAGAATTTCAGAAGTCTGAAATCATAGCCCCCGTTTCCTCCTGCTCTTGACTGTGAGACGACTGTGACAAAGAACAGGTTTAGTGCATGCCAGAATCCTGTTCTTTGCATTTGCTTAACCTGACCCTTTTGGGAACTGCAGGGAGGCAACAGATCATTATAAAGTCATATTTAACAGAATGGGCTCTCTTGGTTAGGAGGTAAAAGAAAATACACTGGTAAACATAGCAGTATCTCACTATATTAGTGTATCAATAGTAAAGTGTTGAATTTATAAAGTGAGTTCCACCCTTGTTCTTGAAAAAAAAAAAACTCGTTCTTCCACTCACAGGTAATAGTGTCACTGTCATAACTTTGGAAAGCCTAAAAAGACAAATAGTCCTGCTACCTGTCAGAAAAAAAAAAAAAAAAACCCAGATACCTACTTTTAATCTAAAAATACATAGTTTTGAAAGATATCTTCTTGTCTGTTATTGATTTATATAGTGATTTCCTATTAACTTTTGCAAATAAGATCATATTTAATATTCATAAAAGTTTTAAAGTTGAACAAGATAACTGTTGCTATCCCTGTTTCATAAATGAGGAAATTGGTGCATAAAAGTAATGAAGAGCTGTTTCAAAGTCTCGGAGAACTACAGGAAGACCTTAGACATCAATAAAAGGTCTGTTTCCTTTGGAAGGAAGACAGATAAATTATACTCAGAATATTGTTACAAACATGAGCCTTCCATGCAGTGTGAATTGTCATAAGATTTATAAATTTTACTTATAAATTACAGTTCTCTGACCACTACCTGTCACTTTCTAGATACCATGGATGTTGAAAACAATTCTACTTTGGAAAAACACAGTGGGAAAAGAAGTAAGAATAAATAAGAATTTACTTAATTTGTATATTACAAATGAACTGTTTTTTAATGCTAAGGTTTATTATCATTATTTTCTTTTTTCACCTTTTATTATAGATTAAAGGGTACATGTGCAGGTTTGTTACATGGGTAAATTGTGTGATGCTGAGGCTTGGGGTCCCAAAAATCCCATCACTCAGACAGTAAGCATAGTACCCAAGAGATGGTTCTTCAGCCCATGCCATCCTCTCCCCTCCCCCATCTAGTGGTCCCCAGTGTCTCTTGTTCCCATCTTCACATTTATGTGTATTCAGTGTTTAGCTCCCACTTATAAGTAAGAACATGCAGTATTTGGTTTTCTGTTATTGCATTAAGTTGCTTAAGATAATGCCTCCAGCTCCATCCATGTTGCTGCAAAGGGCATGATGTCATTCTTTTTTTTTTTTATTATTATACTTTAAGTTCTAGGGTACATGTGCACAACGTGCAGGTTTGTTACATATGTATACATGTGCCATGTTGGTGTGCTGCACCCATTAACTCTATCTCCTAATGCTATCCCTCTCCACTCCCTCCACCCCACAAGAGGCCCCGGTGTGTGATGTTCCCCTTCCTGTGTCTATTCTTTTCATGGCTGCATAGTATTTCATGGTGAATATGTGTGCCACATTTTGTTTATCCAGTTCACTGTTGATGGGCAACTAGATTGGTTCTATGTCTTTGTTGTTGTGAATAGCACTATAAGGAACATATGAGTGCATGTATCTTTTTGATAGAACAAATTATTTTCCTTTGGGAATATACCTAAAGGTGGTGGGATTGCTGAGTAGAATAGCATTTCTGTCTGCAGGTCTTTGAGGAGTCTCCACACTGTCTTCCACAATGGTTGAACTAATTTTACACTCCCACCAACAGTGTATAAGCGTTCCTTTTCCTCCACAACCTCGCCAGCATCTGTAATTTTCTTGACTTTTTGATAATAGCCACTCTGAGTAGTGTGAGATGGTATCTCACTGTGGTTTTGATTTGCATTTATCTGATATTAGTGATGTTGGGCATTTTTTCATGTTTGTTGACCACTTGTATGTCTTCTTTAAAGAAGTGTCTGTTCATGTCCTTTGCCTATTTTTCAATTGGATTTTTTTGGTTTTTGCTTGTTGATTTGTTTAAGTTCCTTATAGATTCTGGATATCAGATCTTTGTTATATGCACAGTTTGCAAAAATTTTCTCCCATTCTGAAGGCTGTCTGTTTGCTCTTTTGGTAATTTCTTTTGTTGTGCAGAAGATATTTAGTTTAATTAGGTCCCACTTGTCAATTTTTGTTTTAGTTGCAATTGCTTTTGGAGATTCAGCCATAAATTCTTTGCCAAAGCCTATATCAGGAAGGGTATTTCCTAGGTTTATTCTAGGATTTTCATAGTTTTAGGTCTTACGTTTAAATCTTTAATCTATCTTGAGTTAATTTTTGTATAGGATGAGAAGTATGGATCCAGTTTCATTTTTCTTCATATGTCTAGCCAGTTATTCCAGCGTCATTTATTGAATAGACAATCCATTTCCCATTGCTTATTTTTGTTGAAGATCAGATGGTTGTAGGTGAGCAGGTTTGTTTCTGAGTTCTCTGTTCTGTTCCACTGGTCTATGTGTCTGTTTTTGTACCAGTACCATGCTATTTTGATTTCTGTAGCCTTATAGTATAGTTAGAAGTCAAGCAATGTGATGCCTCTAGCTTTGTTCTTTTTGCTTACAATTGCTTTGTCTATTCAGGCTCTTTTATGGTTCCAACTGAGTTTTAGAATTGATTTTTCTAATTCGGTGAAGAATGATGCTTTTATTTTGATAAGGATGGTGTTGAATCTGTAAATTGATTTAAACAGTATAGTCATTCAAACTATATTGATTCTTCCAATCCATGAGCATGGAAAAATTTTCTATTTATTTGTGTCATCTCTGATTTCAGCAGTGTTTTTTAGTTCTTCTTGTAGACCTCTTTCACCTCCTTGGTTGGATGAATTCCTAGGGATCTCATTTTCTTTTTTTTTTATTTTATTTTTTTATTTGTTTATTATTATTATTATACTTTAAGTTCTAGGGTACATGTGCATAACATGCAGGTTTGTTACATATGTATACTTGTGCCACGTTGGTGTGCTGCACCCATCAACTCGTCAGCACCCATCAACTCGTCATTTACATCAGGTATAACTTCCAATGTAATCCCTCCCCCCTTCCCCCTCCCCATGATAGGCCCCGGTGTGTGATGTTCCCCTTCCTGAGTCCAGGTGATCTCATTGTTCAGTTCCCACCTATCAGTGAGAACATGCGGTGTTTGGTTTTCTGTTCTTGTGATAGTTTGCTAAGCATGATGGTTTCCAGCTGCATCCATGTCCCTACAAAGGACACAAACTCATCCTTTTTTATGGCTGCATAGTATTCCATGGTGTATATGTGCCACATTTTCTTAATCCAATCTGTCACTGATGGACATTTGGGTTGATTCCAAGTCTTTGCTATTGTGAATAGTGCTGCAATAAACATACGTGTGCATGTGTCTTTATAGCAGCATAATTTATAATCCTTTGGGTATATACCCAGTAATGGGATGGCTGGGTCCAATGGTACATCTAGTTCTAGATCCTTGAGGAATCGCCATACTGTTTTCCATAATGGTTGAACTAGTTTACAATCCCACCAACAGTGTAAAAGTGTTCCTATTTCTCCACATCCTCTCCAGCACTGTTGTTTCCTGACTTTTGAATGATCGCCATTCTAACTGGTGTGAGATGGTATCTCATTGTGGTTTTGATTTGCATTTCTCTGATGGCCAGTGATGATGAGCATTTTTTCATGTGTCTGTTGGCTGTATGAATGTCTTCTTTTGAGAAATGTCTGTTCATATCCTTTGCCCACTTTTTGATGGGGTTGTTTGTTTTTTTCTTGTAAATTTGTTTGAGTTCTTTGTAGGTTCTGGATATTAGCCCTTTGTCAGATGAGTAGATTGCAAAAATTTTCTCCCATTCTGTAGGTTGCCTGTTCACTCTGATGGTAGTTTCTTTTGCTGTGCAGAAGCTCTTTAGTTTAATGAGATCCCATTTGTCAATTTTGGCTTTTGCTGCCGTTGCTTTTGGTGTTTTAGACATGAAGTCTTTGCCCATGCCTATGTCCTGAATGGTACTACCTAGGTTTTCTTCTAGGGTTTTTATGGTATTAGGTCTAACATTTAAGTCTCTAATCCATCTTGAATTAATTTTCGTATAAGGAGTAAGGAAAGGATCCAGTTTCAGCTTTCTACTTATGGCTAGCCAATTTTCCCAGCACCATTTATTAAATAGGGAATCCTTTCCCCATTTCTTGTTTTTGTCAGGTTTGTCAAAGATCAGATGGCTGTAGATGTGTGGTATTATTTCTGAGGACTCTGTTCTGTTCCATTGGTCTATATCTCTGTTTTGGTACCAGTACCATGCTGTTTTGGTTACTGTAGCCTTGTAGTATAGTTTGAAGTCAGGTAGCGTGATGCCTCCAGCTTTGTTCTTTTGACTTAGGATTTTCTTGGCAATGCGGGCTCTTTTTTAGTTCCATATGAACTTTAAAGCAGTTTTTTCCAATTCTGTGAAGAAACTCATTGGTAGCTTGATGGGGATGGCATTGAATCTATAAATAACCTTGGGCAGTATGGCCATTTTCACGATATTGATTCTTCCTATCCATGAGCATGGTATGTTCTTCCATTTGTTTGTGTCCTCTTTTATTTCACTGAGCAGTGGTTTGTAGTTCTCCTTGAAGAGGTCCTTTACATCCCTTGTAAGTTGGATTCCTAGGTATTTTATTCTCTTTGAAGCAATTGTGAATGGAAGTTCATTCATGATTTGGCTCTCTATTTGTCTGTTACTGGTGTATAAGAATGCTTGTGATTTTTTCACATTAACTTTGTATCCTGAGACTTTGCTGAAGTTGCTTATCAGCTTAAGGAGATTTTGGGCTGAGAAAATGGGGTTTTCTAAATATACAATCATGTCGTCTGCAAACAGGGACAATTTGACTTCTTCTTTTCCTAACTGAATCCCCTTGATTTCTTTCTCTTGCCTGATTGCCCTAGCCAGAACTTCCAACACTATGTTGAATAGGAGTGGTGAGAGAGGGCATCCCTGTCTTGTGCCAGTTTTCAAAGGGAATTTTTTCAGTTTTTGCCCATTCAGTATGATATTGGCTGTGGGTTTGTCATAAATAGCTCTTATTATTTTGAGGTACGTTCCATCAATACCGAATTTATTGAACGTTTTTAGCATGAAGGGCTGTTGAATTTTGTCAAAAGCCTTTTCTGCATTTATTGAGATAATCATGTGGTTCTTGTCTTTGGTTCTGTTTATATGCTGGATTATGTTTATTGATTTGCGAATGTTGAACCAGCCTTGCATCCCAGGGATGAAGCCCACTTGATCATGGTGGATAAGCTTTTTGATGTGCTGCTGAATCCGGTTTGCCAGTATTTTATTGAGGATTTTTGCATCGATGTTCATCAGGGATATTGGTCTAAAATTCTCTTTTTTTGTTGTGTCTCTGCCAGGCTTTGGTATCAGGATGATGTTGGCCTCATAAAATGAGTTAGGGAGGATTCCCTCTTTTTCTATTGATTGGAATAGTTTCAGAAGGAATGGTACCAGCTCCTCCTTGTACCTCTGGTAGAATTCAGCTGTGAATCCATCTGGTCCTGGACTTTTTTTGGTTGGTAGGCTATTAATTATTGCCTCATTTTCAGAGCCTGCTATTGGTCTATTCAGGGATTCAACTTCTTCCTGGCTTAGTCTTGGAAGAGTGTAAGTGTCCAGGAAATTATCCATTTCTTCTAGATTTTCTAGTTTATTTGCATAGAGGTGTTTATAGTATTCTCTGATGGTAGTTTGTATTTCTGTGGGGTCAGTGGTGATATCCCCTTTATCATTTTTTATTGCGTCTATTTGATTCTTCTCTCTTTTCTTCTTTATTAGTCTTGCTAGTGTTCTATCAATTTTGTTG